TTTTCTCGCTCTATGAAGAACAGGAAAAAGAGACAGCAAAGAAAGGAGAAAACAAATAAATACCATTGCTATGAATGTGGAAAGTTTGGCCATATCAAACCAGACTATCCGGAACTTAAGAAAAAGAAGAAATATGTGAAAGAGAAGAAGAAAGAGAAGAACGATACCTATAAGAGAAAACACAAATCTTATATTACTTGGGTGGATAATGATTCTTCCCCAACACAAGAGAGTTCTTCCTAAAGCAATGATGAAGAAGAAGAAGAAAATCTTTTCTTGATGACAAAAAGTGATGATGAAGCCTCATCACAGGTACGTAGTACAAAATCCTTAAATGAATATGATGAGTTGTTTAAAGAATATCAAGATATGTATGAAGGTTTTACCAAGTTATCTAAGAAATACAATGCACTTAGGCAAAAGTTTAATGCATTAGAAAATACTGTTGGTATTCTTGAAAAAGAAAATGAGTGCTTAAAGAAAGATGTTGAGAAATTTAAAACCTTGCCTAAAAATAAAGAAGTTGCTAAACTTTGTGAAAATTGTAATCTTTTGGAAAATGAGATTTTCAAGTTAGAGAAAAAAATAAGCAAGTTTTCAAAATCTTCTGAAAATCTTGATTCTATATTAGGTTATCAAAGAGGGAATTCTAGCAAAGCTGGACTTGGTTACAAACCCAAAGAAAGTCTAGAACCTCATAAAACTATTTTTGTGAAAGAGTTAAGGAAAACAGATGTGAAACCAGTTTCAAAAACTTTAAGAAACTCATTTAGACCTTTTCAAAGAAAACCAACATGTTTTTATTGCATGAAATTAGGTCATACATCAAATAAATGTTACATAAAACATTTTGGCATATCTAATGGAAAATATAAATGGGTGCCTAAAGGAACAAAGCATTTATACATGTCTAGATGATAGTTGGAGCATCTAATTGATTATCAGAATCGAAATTTTTTTTCTTGTTGTCATAATCAATTATGTTGAAAGTTTGAATTTTGAAAGCTTGAATTTATGAAAATGTGAAATTATTAAAGTTTGAAATTTTGCAGTTTGAGATTTTTGTTTTTTAAATTTGCAGTATGAGATTTTTGAAATTTGAAATTTTGCAATTTGAGATTTTTGAAATTTGAAATTTTGTAGTTTAAGATTTTGAAATTTGAAATTTTTGCAGTTTGAGATTTTTGAAATTGAATTTGAATTGAAATTTAAAATTTGAATTTGAAATTTGGGATTAGAAATTTGAATTTGAAATTTGGGATTAGAAATTTGAATTTGAAATTTGGAATTTGTTGGAATTTGAATTTGAAATTTGAAATCTGGAATATGAGTGCATTTGAATTTGAAAGCTGCCTAAATAAGAAGACTGCAATTGGGGGAAACTACTGCATTTCATTCCATTATCTCTATAATCATTTTATTCCCCTATCTTTCTCTCTCTTCATTTATCTTGGGTGTCCTAGATATTGCCTCCTTAATATGATGTTCTTCTCTATGACATTTTGTAATGCATTATCTTCTCTACCTTGATTTATGTACTAATATGTGCAAATTTGTTCTCAGTTTCTATTGCCATATTTTTCATAATTATCAATGAAACAGGGAGATATTTTGATGATATTAATTTGTGTGAAACAGGGGGAGATTTTTTTCTCTTATAATATTTTTCATAATTATCAATGAAACAGGGAGATATTTTGATGATATTAATCTGTGTGAAACAGGGGGAGATTTGTTTTCTCTTATAATATTTTTATGATTATCAATGAAACAAGGGGAGATTTTTTGATGAATTAAAATTTGTGTGAAATTTTTTCTTATCTCTAAATTAAATAAGGGGAGTTAAGAGAATTTTTTGCTCATATGAGTTAGGGGGAGTCTTGTTATTAATATATCCGGGGGAGATTAAGACTCTGACACTTGATACAAATTTGTGCTAATCTGTGCTAATCTTGAGCTGGCTATATAGAGTCAAACATTTTAATTCATTTCAGGTGTTTCCTTGATCATCATCAAAAAGGGGGAGATTGAAAGCAATGAGGGGGAGATTGATGGAAATGTCCCTACATTCCCAAGAGATGATTTTGATGATGATTCAAGTCAACTACATTCAAGTCAACGCCATTCAAGATGAATTAAGGACAAGCTGAATTTAAGACGTTGGTGAAAATGTGAAACATTTCCCTACATGCCCAAGATATATTTTTGATAAAGATGATGATTCAAGCAAGCCTAAGATGATTCCTGAAGACTAGATATAGTCTTAGAATACTGGATATGGAGGTACAAGTTAATGAAATAATATTATGCATAAGCCTCCAAAGCACAAGTTTGATAAAATTCATAACGTGATATTTTTCACTGTCATAATCAATTATGATGCATCAAAAATGGAAAAATGATTTACTCTGTCATAATTGATTATATTGGTAATATAATCAATTATGGCAATTCAAATTTGAAAAATATATCTGTTTTAAAGAATAAATATTTTTGAATACATCTTGATTTTCTCTATGATATTATTAATGTCCAACGACCATTTTCTGATGCTATTTTTCTATTTAATTAAGTTTTGATGAAAAATAAAAAATACACAATTATGGAATTCGAAAATACAATTTACATTCAATCAGTTTTGAAAAAGAATTCGAGCAAGGCAACGAGAGATATTTTACACCTTTTGAGAAAACCCTCTTCTCTACTGCCTTCTGTGCTTTCATTGTTAATTACACTTGTTCTTGAAGATTGACATTCTACAGGCTTCTACAATTTGTTGTCTCCATTACCTAGGTTTGACTGTTCTTATTTTTATTACCTTCATCCTTTGTGTATTGGTGACAAAGGAGGTATTTTTCATCCCTAGTGTGCTTCTAAGGAGGTGTTCATCCTTAGTGGGATTCTAAGGAGGTGTTTTCATCCTTTGATTTGTTCAAAGGAGATTTTCATCCCTAGTGTGATTCTAGGGAGGTGTTCATCCTTAGTGGGATTCTAAGGAGGTTTTTTTCATCCTTTGATTTGTTCAGAGGAGGTGTTCATCCCTAGTGGGATTCTAGGGAGGTGTTCATCCTTAGTGGGTTTCTAAGGAGGTGATTGTCTTTTTAATTAGTTTACTCTTTACTGGTTTTTTGGCTGAGTTTTTTGTAATTTGTAAACTGAATTTGAAAGATAGTGAATTGGGAGTCACTCTTGTGTTAAGAGTTAACTGGGAACTGGATATAGGGTTGGCTATACCCGAACCAGTATAAATCTTTGTGTGTTCTTCTCTTTCCCTTATCTCTTTCTCTTTTCCTGATTATATTATCGCTTCCGCTTTATCTGTGTTCAAACAAATTATTGACTCACAAATAAATTTTTAGTTTGACATCTATTTTAATTTGTGCATCTATTCACCCCCCTCTAGATGTCATTTGTCTAACAAGACTGGTTATCCTTAGTTGAATGTGCAAAATTAAATGTCATTTTAAAAAAATATTTATTTCCCCTAAAATAAAAAAAATAAAGAAATAAAAAGGGAAAAAAGAATAGAATGAACAAAAATATGTTTTAGTTTTTCGGGGTCCGACAAGGATTGACCTTACTCCTACGTATTCTCATTCAAAATGAGAAATCAGGGTTACATAGTTCTTTGTAGAAAAAGTTTGTATGTTGATTAAGGTTTTGAAATATTTGGTGTTTTTAGAAGGGTTTTGTATTTTTGGGTTTTGAATAAATTAATAATTTTGTTGTTTTTGCTGTTATAATGCGTGCGGCCATACTCGTGTTTCAAAGGTTTAAAATAGAGGACATGACGACATGAGTGGTCGTACCATACCTCAAGGTTTATTTTAAAAAGGGAAAACATGATGACGTGACCGGTCGTATCCATACCTCAAAATTCTTTTTAAAGGTAGAAGACATGATGATGCGAGCAGCCGTACCCATACCTCAAAATTTGTTTTTAAAAGAACAGTTTATTTTAAAAGGAGAGGACATGACGTCGTGAGCGACCATACTCGTACCTCAAAATTTATTTTTAAAAGAGACCAGTTTATTTTAAAAGGAGAGGACATGACGATGCAAGCGGTTATACTCATACCTCAAAAATTATTTAAAAGAGACCAAGACATCCAAATGACCTATATCACGTAAGGCCGAAAACCACTAAATCAAAAATTGCACGGGGCTAGAAGTCACTAAGTCGAAGCGCGTTAGCCAATAACTACTAATTCAAATAATGATCAAGGCAATAATCTGTAAATCGTAAACGAAGGACCAATGGTTGTGATTCTTAAACTTTGAAAGTGAGAATACGTCTTTACTCCGAAACAGTCAAAGATAAAGATAAAGTTTCAAATATTCACAATCAAATATGTAAAAGAGGGATTGAAATAGTTAAACTAAATGCATATTACTGCTGACCACATGTTAAACTATTAAACAAAAATTTGACAGCATAACGAGATAAATATAACATATCAACCACAAGACCCACGGTCCTTAACAGTCCAAACAAAGGAAAGAAGATAACAAAAGGGACTTTTGGTCCTCAACAGTCCCTGTTAAAATCAATATAAGTCCAGATAAGAATAAATAAACAAACAAACCCATGAAATAGCAACGATAAAAAGTTGTAGAAACAAACAGATGGCACGAAAACATCAGAACAAACAAAATATCAGGCCTTAACCTTGATTCAACTCAAATCAAAACAATCCCAAGAAAACCCAACAATTAAAGATCTAAATTGATCGAGTCCTAGATCAAATGACAAACTAGCCATAGCCAACAGAAACAAACTAGCCAATCCCATCCCAAACACAGACAAATAGAATCCAAACTCAGCCCGACAAAATCAATTCATCAAAAACTCACATAAAAGAAAATTGAACCAATCAAAGAAAAAGAAGCCATAATCAAGGAAAAATAATTGTTGTTAGTCTGCGGCCTTGCATCAAATCTCTAGCCTGCAGTTTGAGTCACGGTGATTAAAGTGTGGTGCAGGCTTGGTGGTGTGATTCATGGTGGATTCTTCGAGGTGGAGGCTGGGATGGTTGAGGGAGACGCAAGTGGGTAGGAAAGTGTGGGCCAAGGGTGATGTTCGATGGCTACGATGATTGCAGTGAGGGTGGATGTAGGTTGAGAGTGAAGAAGGCATGATGGTTCGACGGTGAGGCTCGTGGGTTAGTGATTTCAAGGCTACCAGTGAGGGGGATGGCCAACGGCTAGGGCTGGTAGTGGCTCGCGATAGTGGCTCGCGATGGTGGCCCACTAAGGAGGTGGCGCGAGGCTAGGGAGAGGGTGAAGATGGGATGTTCCCCACGCAGTGGTTAGGCTCGTCGATAGGGTTGCGAATGGTGGTGATTGGGGGGGTCTGAATAAATGTGGTTGCACGATGGTTCACGGCTAGTGGTGGAGTTGACGGAGGGAGTTGTGGGTGGCCTCGGCAAGATCAATGAGGTAATCGACATCAAAAACACAAACCCAACATTGGCTACGACTGACATATGCACAATCTACCATCGAGGTAATCCTTTTGTTCCTAACCAATATAATCACAATACTATTACCTTCTTTTTTACCCGAAAATGAAACTTTAGGATTTCCTTCAGCATCTTTAGAACCTTTTAGAGATGATGAGGACGAAATTCTCACACAACATGTAGATGAGGATGACAAATTAGAGGTCTCCCCATACAACAACAATCCCAACATCATTTACCCCATTCATACATCCTTCCCAGACATTTTGAAACCTATACCACACTTCCTTATGAACAAAATAGTGAGTTTGGTGATGCATTTGACCATGAATTAGTGGAACATCCACTTAGATCATTATTTAAGGGAATACAATTTCTAAACAAGGAAGAAGTGGTTGACACACTTAACAGGTTTCACATAATGAATCATTGTACCTACAAAGTCACATATTCCAACACCACCAGATTAAGAGTGCAATATGTTGAGAGTCATTGCAATTGGAAGTGTCAACCGATTTTGCACACCAAAGAACAATTTTAGGAGATCAAAATAAGTAAGGGTCACACATAATTTCACAACATATTCGTGAAATTATGGATGCAGACCCTTCTACCCCCCTATTACAACTATTATTGCTCATATCAAGTCCTCAGTTGGATACATTGTGACATACATAAAGGCTTGGTTAGTAAAGCAACAAGCAATTGAAAATGTCTCCGGCAATTGAGAAGAATCATTCAACAAATTGTCTAGCCTATTACAAGTCATGTCACAATTTCTTCCATGTTTCTATTACTGATTGACCACATAACAACTATCTTCTAGCGAGGAGAAGGTATACTTTAAAAGACTATTCTAAACCTTTAAGTCATGCATTGATGGATTTCGGTATTGTAAACCACTAGTCCAAGGAGATGAGATATTTCTATATGACAAATATAGGGACACCCTACTATTAGCTATTGCACCAAATGAAAGGAACAACATACTCAATATTGCTTTTGTAATTGTTGAAGGTGAAACTACAAATGTCTGGTTTTTTATCTTAAAAACCCTAAGGAGGTATGTCACACCTCAAGACAACTTGTGCTAAATTTCGAATCCCCACAACTCAATTCATGTTGCGTACGTAAGACCTGAGAGTGGATGGACTGAGGGTAACTGTATGCATGTGTATTGCATTTGACATATTGTACAAAATTTTATAAGAAGATTCAAGAATGCAACTCTCAAAAAAGACCTTGTCAATATGGGTAAAAAAAAAAAAAACTCTTAAAACTTTCCTAGCCTTAAAAAGGAAACTTGGTTATGCCCTCTTATAAAGAAAGTTCCTTGGTTAAGAATTAGGAGAAGATTACTCTCCTTTGTAAGCTTAGAAACAAAAAGATAAAACTTCATACAAATCAATTATATCATTCAATCAAAGGTAAGTGTTACAAGAGGCAAGAATTTTATTTATAGATGTCTAATCCCTTGCACCTAATGACACAAGAGATGTGAGACTAAGAAACATAAAATAGACAAATTAGCATGCAAAATACAGCCTAAATAAGATTTATTTTGACTTTTATTATAGGGTGGAAGTCAAGTGGACTAAGTCATAATTGAATCATAATACTTAGACAGTCTAGTTATAAGCACTTAAAGTAACAATTGGTATCAAAGTCAAGATCATGAGTTAAATTCTCAAACCGTAGTTCTATGTTATCTTTAGCCTATCAAATTGAGTTTACATCCTCTAACAAGCTTGTGCCACTTTTCATCATTTTCACATCCTTATCCTAAGGTTTGGTAGCAACCTAACCAAATGAATCTAAAAAAAATGTATTTTTTTTTTCAATCAACTCTTCCTTATTATTGACTTCTCGAATTTAGAAAACTAACATAAAAAAAAAATTGGTACGATAAATAATTTGAATAATTGGTCAATAATTATAACTTAAAACTATTATTGATCGATCAAGAAATAATATAAATAATAATTCTTAAATATGATAATACATCAGTTTTATTACATATATTTTGTCCGAGCAGCACCAACTTTGCCAAAAATTCTTAGTCAAAAAGACAAAGAAGAGTAACAACATTTTGAGGAAAGATAGCCAAGAATCAATTGAAAAAAAAATCTAAATAAAGTATTATATTATTATAAAATAATTTATTCACATATATTGTAAATGGAACGTTATTAGTTTTTATTTAAATATATGATACATAACTAATTTTCTAAATACTGTAATTTTCTTTTTATTTTATTTTTTAAAACAATTATGCATTTTCATTCCAATCACTGCTATTGGTTTGATACATTCGCATCATTAAATTAGAAAATCAAATTCAAAAACAAATCATGTTGACGTTGATATTCGTATTCACATTGAATACTTGATTTGATTCCGTACACGTGCCCCGTTCCTACGCCCCCAACGCATTTTCCACACGGATACATTCTTCGCTAACTCGATTTCTTTACGCCACGTCATCCCTCTTCTTACATTATTTTTCACTTAATTATTATATGGTTATTTTGAATCACAATTTTTTTAATATCAATGTCACACTCACATCTATTTTCACATAATCTATCATCCATTCCACTCGTTCCTTTCATTCACGTGCACATATCCATAAGGGCAATTCCCGTTCACTCGACAATTGAGGGGTGGAAAGAGAAGCATGTCAATTTTAAGATAAATAGATATTTTTTTTTTACAAAAAATAGTAATTTGTACTTGCATTTTGATAGCTTCAAAATCTTGTCCTTACTCATAATCAACAATAATTTATCCATATAGCTTGCAAAAATTTATCATACCAACAATAATCATAATACTTTGGGTGGATTAGTTTTTTTCCGATAAAAATTAATAATTAAAAAAAATATGTTTTGTCCTTAAAAATACTTAGGCAAGTTCAAGAAAGAGAATATATTTCTTCATGTTATCTAGGTTTCTAAAATGAATTAAGAAAAATATTATATATAAATGATTATATGTTGACTTCTAAATCATGTGGAAATGTTGACAGTATAAAACTAAAAATTAAAATTAAAAAAATACTTTAAGTAATTTATTTTGTAAGAATTAAAAATAATGATAATTACTTGCACATCTGGAATGTAAGGTACGTGGAAACGTGAGTAAGTATGTTTGTGTAATCACGTGCCGACACGCCGCTATAAAACTATCTGAATCCAATAGTCTGAAATGCAGAAGAAAGCTCTGGATAGAAACTATTCCACTGTCACTAGCGCTGCCTTTTTTTTTATGTTTTTCTTTTCTGTGAATGAATGTAAAATCTTGAAGGTAGTGGGTGATGAGAGTTAACGTGATGGGTTCCTGTGTCTGAACTCAATCAGGTAACAGTGGCGTGTGTTGTAATACCGAAAAAGGTTGCGGAATCGTGTTCCTTGTTTGGTTTGGAAGGTATTCCAGCCCATACACAAACAGCCTTTCACCCACGTTGCATCATCTTCAACTCTGCAACTTATTGTGAGTAATCTGATCAATCATACTTTTCTCATCCTGAAATTGATTGTAGTTAGTTGTTGTTATTATTAGTGTTTCTGGGTATTGCTGAAGCTCTGTAGTATTTTTGACCAAAACATAGGTAGGAGGTAATTAGGAGATAATCTTTGACTTTGATGATGATTAATTTGTTTCCTTGTATGTTTCTACTTGATTTTTTGTTTATTCTGTATCATTTGGGCTGAACACTGTTCGAATAATGAATTGGGCTGTTTAAGTTATGGACACAAGAAGTTATAACTATGTTATTGATTATTGTGTTTGTTATTAGCTCTATGGGATCATAATCTGATGCTGTTTCTTTACCAATAGGATGGAAGAGAGTAGGATATAAGATTTTCAATTATAAGAAATTAATCATTAACCAGTTTTTAAATTTTTTATGGAAAAAAAGGTGGAAAATTTTGTTTCAATTTTGCTTGTATATTATGTAGATATACATAACTGCTTGTGTTATTTTACTCATTCAATGGAGTTCTAGAATAATATGTACAGTCATTGAGATAGCACGACCAGATAAACTTTTGGTTCAAAATTGTTTTGCATGAATCTAATCTAACCCTTTGTTCACACCATAGGACGGCGTCTATCCTCTTTGTTGGAAGATATGACAACCCTGTCCGATATAGGGGTTGCTGCTGCCATAAACATTTCCAGCGCATTGCTTTTCTTTGTGGCATTTGCTATTTTGAGGCTTCAACCTTGGAACGATAGGGTGTACTTTCCAAAATGGTATTTGAAGGGTTTAAGAACAGATCCAGTTCGTGGAAGAGCGTATGTGAGCAAGTTCATCAATTTAGACTGGAAAGCATATCTTGGGTTTTTGAATTGGATGCCAGAAGCAATTAGAATGCCAGAACCTGAGCTTATTGACCATGCAGGATTGGACTCTGTTGTTTACTTGCGGATATACTTGATAGGGTATGTGTGCAACATTGAGTCAATGCCACTTCAGGAAGGTAAACTATGGTTGTTCTGATCTGATGTTTTCTGTTTGTGTTGTGTAGGCTTAAAATTTTTGTCCCTATAGCATTCCTGGCTTGGACTATTCTGGTTCCTGTCAATTGGACTAGTACTGGTCTAGAAGGAGCGCATATAAGAAACATAACTTCCAGTGACATTGATAAACTCTCGGTTTCTAATGTCCATAGTCGATCTGAAAGGTTTCAATTTCTCCATTCAGTGCTGTTGGAATTCTGTTACTCCCTTTTTATGTTTTCTATTGTAGTCTTTTCAAATTTGAACTGCCTCCATGACAAATGTATACTTCAGTTAGTATGCATATTACTATTCTTATGATCTAAACTGTACTCTAAAGTTCTGTGCACTTCTTCAGATTTTGGGGACACATAATAATGGCTTATGCCTTTACCTTTTGGACATGCTATATTTTGCTAAAGGAATATGGGAAGGTAGAATCAATGAGACTTGGCTTTCTTGCAGCAGAAAAGCGTCGTCCTGATCAATTTACGGTAAACTGATTTCTTCATCCTTCAATTTTAAATGTTATTTCACATTTTTGTTTAGTTTACTCTAAGTTTGTCCGGCTTTGACCATCTCTGCAAAGAAGTAATGGAATCTGATTTCAGCTTTTAGAGGTTGGAGGTGGTATTTTCAATGGTAGATTTCATTTATATCTTTAACAGTTTTTTGCATCTTCTTTTATTACAACAGAGCAATCCAATTCTTATGGATGTTTATTACTAGTGACAAATTCCTGCAGCAGTAAATGAATTGTCATACAATAGTTACTCATGTTTTTACTTACAGAAATATACTGTTCTCAGGTGCTTGTTAGAAACATTCCTTCAGACCCTGATGAATCTGTGAGTGAGCTTGTTGAGCACTTCTTTCTGGTCAATCATCCAGATCACTATCTCAGTCACCAGGTTGGTTCCTCCTGTTTACACTTACGCTGCTCAAATGGTACCTGCATTTATTATCTCATTGATTTTTATATTATGCATTGGTTATTTTATATGTTTCTCTCTGTAATACAAGGTTTAGACATCTTATTGACAGAAGTCACTTTGTTACTGCATTTCACCATGTTAGTTGAATTCCAGTTATAATTTGAATTGAAATTACATATACATTATTAAATAGATGTTAAATGAAACTAGCATGTTTGATTTGAGAAAACCATTTCTTGTTTTCACTAATAACAAAAGCCACATTTTTTCTTGTTTCCAATTTTCAATTGCATAGGAAACCGGGAAAGAAACACTATAGTGCTTCTACAATTTCTTGCCCACATTGCACAAATCTTTGAAAATCAAACAATATGTAAGAAAACGAGGCATCTTTTGACACTCAATATAGTGTTGCTCTTAAGATGAGTCAGATTTAATTTTGCATAGACAAATTTTGAAACAATTAAGAATTATCGTTTTACTTCTCTTTCAATCGTACAAACAGTATCAGCCTATTCATTATAACGTTTGTGCAGGTTGTTTATGATGCCAACAAACTTGCGAAGTTGGTTAACAAGAATAAGAAATTGAAGAATTGGCTTGTCTACTATCAAAATAAACTTAAGAGAACTTCAAACAGACCTGAAATAAAGGTATTTAAATATAAATTGATTTTCAGTCAAATTTTATGACAACCATCAAGGTTTACTTTAGTTTTTTCTCTTATATGATTCTGCCAGACTGGTTTCCTTGGTCTTTGGGGAAGCAAAGTGGATGCTATTGATCATCACATCACTGAAATTGACAAGTTGTCAAAAGAAGTAAGTATGTATATATATATATATATATATATATATATATATATATATATATATATATATATATATATATATATATACATTTTTATTTTTTTTCAGAAATTTCATCACATTACACACGCATTATTTCTTCCATGCCAATAATACATTGACAAACTTATGAAAGCTATTTTTATGAGAATCTACATTTTTTTCTGGATTGGCAAATATTAGTTCTTAATACATTAGATTTTGTTAATGGGGGATTCGAACCCACAAATCAAAATCTATCACTCCTCCTTCCACTTTTACTACCAAACATATCTAGTTTAGTTTTGCAGAGTTTATTTTAGGTTAGGATTTCCTAAACATTCTGCTAGTTTCTTTACTTCATCGCATGAAGTTAAAATCTCTTAGAATTTGTGCTAATCAACTTTTGACTGTAACAAATGCTGAGGGAACTCTTTAATTCAATTTCACTTAGGCGAATATTTACATATAGGTAATTTCTAGATATGTTGTGTTTTCATTGCTTTAGCCTCTTTCTTTAAATTTTCTTGATGGTCAGAGGTGATTTTGCAGATTGTTGTAGAGAGGGAAAAGGTCACAAATGATCCCAATTCTATCATGCCTGCTGCATTTGTTTCGTTTAAAACAAGATGGGGTGCTGCCGTCTGTGCACAAACTCAGCAAACCAGAAACCCAACTCTTTGGTTGACTGAATGGGCTCCAGAACCACGAGATGTATATTGGCGAAACTTGCCAATTCCCTATGTGTCCCTCACTGTCAGGAGGTTAATCATAGCTGTAGCATTCTTTTTCCTCACTTTCTTTTTTATGATTCCCATTGCATTTGTTCAAACCCTTGCAAGTATTGAAGGAATCCAGAAAGCAGCACCATGGCTGAAGCCATTGGTTACCATGTAAGCCTAATCTCATGGTTGGAAATTATAATTCAGTTGAATCACTGGAGATTACATATTCAAACTTGTCTCATCGTGCAGCTCTTTCATCAAGTCATTCATTCAAGGTTTTCTACCTGGTATTGTGCTGAAGCTATTTCTTATCTTCCTGCCAACAATATTGATGATCATGTCTAAATTTGAAGGCTTTGAATCTATATCATCTCTGGAGAGAAGATCAGCTTCTAGATACTATCTTTTCAATTTTGTGAATATATTTCTTGGGAACATACTTACTGGAACAGCATTTCAACAGCTGAGCTCTTTCATTCACCAGCCAGCCAACCAGTAGGTTATTCAACATAGAGAACTTGGTTTTTTATTCTTTGGCATTATTACATTTGGGGTGTTTTGGGTGCCATTTCGTAGCCTTGTGTTAGCACTCAACATATTAGTTTCTCCTTATTACATGGAAATGGCTTTACTCCTGGATTCACTCCAGCTGTTGAAAAGTAATGGTGCTATACTCTATTACACCCAGACAGTTCGGTTCCATATAGTGATCCAATAAATTTTCTGAAATTTATCCGATGTGGATAAAATTAAGCACTCTTGTTAATCTTTTGGCAGATATCCGGTAACAATTGGCACAGCTATTCCTTTAAAAGCAAGTTTCTTCATTACTTATATAATGGTTGACGGGTGGGCTAGTATAGCTGCCGAGGTTTTGATGCTGAAACCGCTAATTTTTTATCACTTGAAGAATTTCTTCTTGGTGAAAACTGAAAAGGACAGGGAAGAGGCCATGGATCCAGGGAGTATTGGTTTCAACAATGGAGAACCTCGCATACAATTGTACTTTTTGTTGGGTCTAGTATATGCTGCAGTCACACCTGCTGTTCTTCCTTTCATAATAGTCTTCTTTGGCCTGGCCTATGTTGTGTTCCGTCATCAGGTACTCAGATCTTAGGTCTATAATTACAAGCCAATGATCATTGAATTTTGTGTGCATGTTTTGTTGAGAATTTTTAGGGTTTTGTGTATATATATTTCTGATATATCATGTGAGTATAATTTTTTTTATGTACTCTATCTATATATAGAGTAAAAATATTATAAAATATCAAATATCAATAATATCTTCATCTTCATCATAAATGCCTAAATCAAAATAATAACCTAATATTTTTTTATCTTCTCTCTTAAAAGATAATAAAATCTCTTAATACCTAATTTAAATAAAATATAATAAAGTAATATTCTCGACACGCTTAATACCTAATTTACACTTCTTTCTTAAAAGATAATAAAATGTCTTAATACCTAATTTAAATAAAAGATAATAAAGTAATATTCCCAACAAGCCGTCCATTAATCATTTGTTAAAAATGCACACAGCTCAGTTAGAACTTAATGGCTTACACATGAGTCTCTTATGAGTATTTTGAAAAATATACTGATAAGTCCCTGGCATATAGCCACATCGTAGAAAGACAACAGGAAAGTACTAGCTGACTTAAGAACACTCCTCCTTTCTATCCCTTCTATAAGTATCATAGTATGTGTTCAACTTCAATTTTGTCATAATTAAAGACCTGCTGTACCTTCTACTTGTTTTTCCAAATGCAGATCATTAACGTATACAATCAGGAGTATGAGAGTGGTGCAGCATTTTGGCCTGATGTCCATTTCCGTATAATTTTGGCATTGATAGTCTCACAGATAGTTCTGATGGGGCTTCTCACCACCAAGAAAGCTGCTTCATCAACTCCTTTTCTCATTGTGCTCCCAATACTAACCATATGGTTCCATAGGTATTGCAAAGGCCGTTTTGAATCTGCATTTGTTAAATTTCCCTTACAGGTATGTCGATTTGACCTTTGTGCCTACTAATTCCTTGATTTGGTTGCATTAATATTTGATCATAGACTCCAAGTTTCTAGTTTTGGCTATTTCTTAGAAATGATTAAAACAGGCAATATATCGTATTTGTTCCATATTAGCATGTCCTTTTACCATTTTACCATATATGGTGTCAGGACAAAGTGTTGGTGGTATTTGTCTTGTATGATATTGATATAACATACAAGAAATTTCCTTTTTGTAAGATTGTGTAGAATATTTTTTAAATAAGAAGAAGATAATTTGGAGACTTAATTGCTCTTTAGTTTGATTATTTTTGCATTTTTTTTCTTTTCACTTTTCTTTTTACATTCTAATTACATTTTAGAGATATTATAAAAACTTGTAAATAATCCTCAGAATGTTATATTAGTAACAAAGTCAAATAACCACAGCAATACTCTTAAAGACCTAATAATCTTAAAAGGTCTTTAATATGTATTTAATCTTCCTCAAGTACTTTATAATAGCACAACATGTATTTAATCTTCCTCATGTGTTTTATCTTGTAAATCAATTTGGACTTGGTATCCAAGTTTTCTACTCGATTGCCAACTTGGATCTATATTTCTATTTTCCCTTTTCATGTAATTGTAATGTTGTTCAAACTATTTATGCAGGAAGCAATGATGAAAGATACATTAGAACGAGCAACCGAACCTAACCTGAATTTGAAAGGTTATCTTCAAAATGCCTATGTTCATCCAGTTTTTAAGGAGAGCATGGACGACGAGGACAGTGAGAACGAGACACTTAGTATGGACTTTGAAACTGAAAGTGCGATTGTGCGCACAAAACGCCAGTCCCGAAAGAATACACCATTGCCCAGCAGAAACAACGATGCGTCATCTCTTTCGTTGTCTGATGGTATTCAAAATCATCCAGAGCCTTAAGATAAATGGGATCCCTGTACGTTTAAATTTTGCTCATTATTTCCTAGACAGACTAGGATAATGGGCAAGTGCAAATACAATATTCTACATCAGTTGACAAAGTTGAGGAAGATGGGTTGCCAATGGGAATGATTCGGACGGAGTTTTTGGATGGCAAGATGAAATCACTACATGCAGACTATAAGGCAGATAATTTTGTAATTCTTAGGATTTTGTTGAATACTATTGAATTTGCTTCTTTAGTGGATGAACATAATAGGTTCTGTCTTTTAGGTCCCCTACACTCGGGGATTATTGTAGCTTCTAAGTCACTACATTTATCCTACATAGTAAATAAAGGTCAAGTCGACCTTATCTGTCATTTTGAAGGATAAAGGAACAGGATAGCCATAGGCATTAGTTGAAGAAAACAAGTACCAGTATGGGTTTTTTTTTTTTTCTTGGTCCACTATAGTATTGCCTTCAATAGGATTAAATTAAATGACCAGATAAAAATGTAATTGTAGTGACCAAACATGAAATAATATTTATTCTCTTTTTATCACTTTTTACTACTGATTTTAAGTTTATCATTTTTACAATTATTTTACGTATTAAATACTTGATAAATAAATAAATATATGTTTTCATATTTAATAATAATAATAATATATTTTAAATTATAAAAATTAAAATTAAATGTCAAATAAAGTTATATATTTTATAATTAGTATTATTAAATTTTAAATGAGTATTTATTAAAATTTATAAAAAATAACATAATAAAAAATATAAGTAATCAATAATATCATTTTTATTATAAGTGTAATTATTAATCAGATTCAATATCAAAGTTGTCATCAGTATATTAGATAAACAAGTTATAAAAAAAATAAAAGTACATGAGATAAAAGCAATCGTAAAAATTTTAAAAATGTGTAAAAAAATACTCATTTCAACTTTTTTTAATGTCTAATACGAGTTTTTCAATGTATGTTAAGGAAGGAAAAAAATTCACACTACAAAGGTATAAGAGAAACAATTAACTACTCTACTGTGTTGTGAATGCGGTAAGAGTACATGTGGTTAATAAATATTTATTTAGCAATTTTACTAAGAATGAGATATTTGATAGAATTCACTCTTTTCACCCCGTCAAAAAGTTAAAAGTTTTTTTTTTCTCCTTACAAATCTACTTCATTTTTATGACCTCTTCAAATTCTATAGCGAATAAAATTTCAGGTACATCAAATTTATGTATTCCCACTTTAGAAGAGGGTTGGTTAGAAGTTTTTGTTGTTGTCCAATGGGAGAAAACATATACACATCAAACATAAAACATACGATATAATGTTAGCTTAGCTTGCTAAAAATTCAGCAAATTCTTCCTCATAGACTTTCTTTAAGTCGCACTCAACAAATTGAAGCTTGTTCCAAGGATCAAGCACCATAATAACAAAAATCAATATATTAATATTTTTAACATTCCCTAATACTTGACATATTTAATTTTTATCTTTTTCAACTATACTTGAGTGTAGTTGACCAGAACCTTCTATCCATTTTAATGTTCATTAAAATATTGAGTTGAGAAGAAGTCACAAAATTTGTCCCTGATACTTTTTTGAGTGATATCAAAAAATATTTTTAACAATCTAAGGAAACATCTTAGCATTATCTCAATCATCATTTTTTGGAATATCGCACATTTTTTACCCAATCTTTTAAATGTTTTTTTTTTTTTTTTAATTTCATTGCACTTTCAAGTATTATGGAGGTGAAGTTTCACCTAATGGGAACATCCAATTTAATAGTAGATTTATCAATTATCTAGGCCTCCTTAATGCAATTTTCAAACCTATCCATACGAAGAGGTGATGCAAGAATATATCTAGGCCTCTACATGCAATTTTCAATGCATTGACCACAAAATTTAGTATACATGCATATAACATCTAATATGTAAGTGTTCTCCTCTCAATGGATGTGTGTTTCAATCTTCTATTCTACTTTATAAGTAAATTATTGCAACATCATTTGAGCTGGCATGGTACATTAATAGTGAAAACGTCATCTATTAACCAACTTTTCAAGCATTTGTCCATTTTTCTACCAAGTGTTTCTCCTTTGTGGTTCTTATGTGGATTGAAATTGAGATCCTTTTATGTCACTTTCGATTTTTATCAATGTAATATGTAGTAAGATAAATGACTCAAATATGCACTAAAAAGTTCAACAATCAGTTGATAAACATACACCTTGATTTGAATTATTAAACATACTTTTCAACTTTTATTTTTCATTAATATAAAGACTCCAATTAATGGAAATAATATTTCTCCTTCCACCATAGATGATGTCAATGGTCCTCCATCACCAACACTCTCTATAATCCTTCCTAAAATCGAAAAATTAGGTTACAAGATACTCATAAATAATTGAAAGGTAAGATTTTTTTAGAAGGATCAAGAGCCTCTTTAAGAAATTTTACACATTGATGCAACAAATCATTTATAAGATTATTTGTACTATTTTTTTTATAAGAATCAACAACATAATCTTTTGCACAACAATTACATTTAACTTTATTGATGTGCTTAATCTTCTCAGAATGATCCTAACCCCATGATTTAAGCCTACAAGGCTTTCTATTACATGAATCTTCAACATTTTTTTATGTATATTCCTCTACCAATTCTTTTTAGTTTTTTCAACATTGAATTCTCCTTCTCTATTCAAGTCATCTTGTTCCTCCATATTTACTGGTTCATTTGAAGCTTTGTAGTATATGTAGTTTGAGTGCTTTTGACATGTAACAGGAACCAATAAACATTAATTTCATAAATATTATATATTATTTAAATTGAACATTTATGTAATTAGAAAAAGGATTACCTCCATTTTGTGATGATTAATTGATAAAAAATAATAACTTAATAAGTGTGTATCAATAATTTAAATATATTTCCATCAATCTCATATTTAAATAAATGACAATCATATATATTTATTTATTTATTTATTTATTTATTTATGTCACGCAGGTATAATATTTAAAAAAAATCTATATTTAAGATTTTTATTTTTTTTCTTTAAAAGATACTTCTAGGTATTTAGTACAATCTTACTAATGTTTTAAAATATGGAAATAAATTCATGATGACATTATGAGAGGAAAACTTTTAGAGGAGAAACTCCTTAAATTTGTCATTAGAGCATTAGGTATCATATTTATCAATAATTATTTTCTCTTTTTGGATTCAAATATGACTTTATTTTAATGTTTTGTTGATAAATGTTGTTGTTTCTTTTTAAACTCTCATTGTATTGCTTGAAATAGTTATTCTTGTCCATTATTCCATTATACTACTATTTTGAATGAGGCACATAATATAGGTCTGTCATGGGGTATGGAAAATTGTTATGGATGCATGTAGTAGAGTTAATGGAATGTTCCTAGTTTTCTTAATCCCTATTTTTCTTTTTGTATTTGGTGGCGTTTATTAACCTTTACAAAATACATAGTAGAGTTTTTCAAAACCTCTATGGTTAGATTTGTCACAAGTAATTAATAGCGTTTTTTAAAAAATTTTGGTACCTATATCATATTGTTGTAGGTTATATTGCAAAGGTTTTAAACCTCCCCTAACAAAAGAGATTTTAAACCTCTCCTAACAGTAGATATTTTTTAAAGATTTTAGATGGAAGTTTTAAACCTATATATATCATATATAAAAAATTTATAATAGAAACTATAAAATTGTGCATTTAAATGCTAACATTCACAATAAAAAAATTCAATCAAATATTCATTTTTGGATGATAATCAAAATTGGTGATTCGTCTCATCTTAACCTGGTTCTACAGGTTAAATAATAAAAAAATTGATAGTTTAGTCTAACCTATATTTTAAATTAGATATAAATTTTATCCTAATCTAGCTTTATGTTAAGCCAACAGACTAATAGATCAATTTTGGCCTGATTAAAAGTTTTAAAAAATTTATTAACATATATATACAAAATAATTAATTAAAAATATTTAAATAAAAATATATTTAAAAAATTAAATTAATAAAATTAATTTTTATTTAAGATATAATGTATAAATTATAAGAGAATGAATTCATTCAATTCCAACATAAGAGATACAAATTTACTCTTCATTATCATAATTCATTTTTTAGTAATTTATTGATTTAAAATAGTAATTAATCTTAACTATTAGATATTTAAATAAATGATTGTTAGAGTTTTAGAATAAATGAATCTCTCATCAAATAAATTTATAATATATATATATATATATATATATATATATATATATATATTTTAATATAATAATATCACCTTTTTATTTTAATTTAAAAAATAATTATTTTTTTATAAAACAAGTTGACCCATAAGTTTACGGACTAGTCTGGCATACGTTCATGTAGGTCATGACCTAAATGAGTCAAGTTATCAATTTAGGCTACTAAGTTTTTTTTGCCTAAAATAGCTTATTTATAGGGTTTTCGGATTAGTCCATCGAATTAAACTTATTTTGACAACCTTATTCATTGGATGTTGTTGTTGGAGATTCCACATCAATTAGAGATATGCCCAATTTATAATATATAACTAAAGTGCAAAACTTCACTTTAAAATCCAATTTTGTAGTGTTAAGTTAGACAAATTTCCATTTCTGATATAATATTAGAGCTCATCTTAGAAAGGTTTGTTGGCTTATCTGTTGGCAAATTTTGGGTCATGTATATATATGATACATAATTTAAATGTGTTAGGGTCATTATTTATTAAGCCAAATAATAAAGTGATCTGACTAAATTAAAGTTGTGGCTAAAGGCATATGTCATGAAAATAAAATTGTGTAGAGACCATAGAGTAATTTCTAATTTGATGAGGGGCCAAATTGGAAATACTAAAACTTAAGTAATTAACCTAATTCTGGTTATTTAAAGGGTCATGGTCCCCTTCTGGGAGCACACACACAGAACGTAAGTATCAGTCTCGTTCCTT